TAGTCCTAATTTGTTTATTGATCCAATACGCGAGAAAATAAAACTATTTGTCTTATTACAGTAAGTGCCTTCCACGTTATTATTCTATTTGATATGATTCACGTACTTTCACTCTAAAAACCTATAACATCGAAGAGAACTCACTACAAATATTATTTTATATCTTAATTATATAATAATATATACTATTATAATAATATAAAACAGATAAATTGCTTACTTTTAAAACATCAAGTTTGGATAAATCACAATTGTCACTATTATATTTACTAAGACCCAGGTTTTCACCATTGTTTGATAACTCTATTCCTATGTCAATAGTATTTGAAGTCGATGAGTTAAAATACGATAAAACACGTAAAATGACTGTCTAAAATTTCCGAAACGATAACATTGACACCAAAATGTCATCAACATTGTTACATAACATAATAGAATATCTATTGGTTCGTAATCTATCAATTTACCAGGCGAATGATCAAAGGTAGGTACGTGATGAACTACATTAATCTCACACATACAGCGGCTGAATAATTCGTGTCAAAATGGCACTCATGTGTATTCGTCAGGTGCTGTTTTCAACCTAAAAATATACCTTTGATATTCTTAATATTTTACATAATTATACATGTAAAGGGTTAGCAATCAATTTTGATTTAAAGCTGAAGTTTACCTTTTTAATAATTGAATAAAACATCGATCAAGACCACTGATTATACCACCATTTGTCTTTTCTACTTAATTCAATTCTACCGATTTCTTGTAAGTTCTCCTGCGTTTATAGTCACTGATCCATTTCTCATGGCTGTAACGTAATGTCACATAGCCTATTAACCATTCTCAATTAATACCTTATCTAATACCTTTTAGTTTTAAATCTGACAAACAGAGCACAAATACCAATGTTATAAAATTACTTTTTTTATCCAAATCAACAGCCATTTATACCTTATACTTGTACAGTCCCCAGATATTTATCTCGTTAGAAATATTAGACTCAGAAAACATTAAACTATAACTAATAAAAAGAAATGGAAAATATCTTGTATATTCTGTTATTTTCAGCCCTTAACCCTAGTATAACTTAAAGCTTGTAGTATGACTAGTACTTGCAAGATTTCACTAAAAAGATATTTATTGGCAAAACGTAAATTCTAAATAAATATTTGCCTTTTAGTACCTATGCCAATTTAAATATATAAGTGTACAAGTGTCAACCCTAATATGTTAGTAAACTATTTAATACAACAGGGTTGGCAAACACAGCACACAGGCAGCAATGATGATAATCACGTGCGTCAAAGGATCGACACGACGGTATTTTCAATTTATACAGATGCGGATAGTTACTTTCTGATTTATTGATACAGCTTGTGTTACAAGCAGACTTTATTGAAGGAATATTTATCTGGCACACAATACCAGTATTGTCGTTTACCCAAACGTTACTACCCGTCTTTAGATACCTTTTCTGTTGACAATCGTACGGCGGAGTTCTTTGTACTATGTAAATATCGGCTTTTATCTTTTTCTCAATGTTTGTGTCTTATTCTATGCTGTTACGTGCTCTTTTAAAGAAACTTTAAAGGGTACTTAACTAGAGTAAAGATTTCATCGCAAAACATGATTTTTAATATTTTAAAAATCGTTATCAGTACAACAAATATATTGGCAAGTATTTAAGGATTCAAAAAAAAATGTGAAGGTTTGTAGTTCCATATTTAAAAAAGATAAACAATATACATGAATAATGTTCAATAATCATTTTTGGGGTGAAAATGGGAGTTCCACAAGGTTCTATTCCCGGCCCATATTTTTTAGTACCTATATTTTTATGATTTACCTCACTTTGTCAATTACAATCACGAGATCTTTTTTATTCACTTACATATATGTATTGGCTTCTCTTAAATTCTTTGAATTATACTATGTAATTCTTATAATATAACATGTAAAAATATTATCTTTAAAAAAACGACGGCGCCGTGCTCGACGTTTTAAACGGTTTTATTTAGTCTATTAATGAAGTTTTAACGTTTTCCTAACAACAGATTGATTTGAAATTTGGAACGCACCTTTTTTTCTAATAAAAATACAATTATATAATTTAGTATGAAGGTAAATCCCAAATAGCCACCATAAAAAAAATTACAGATTTCAAATTTTTTATAAGCACTCCAAAATAGGTGGGGACCCAAAACTGAGGGAAAGCCATACCACAGTACATATAGGCCAACCAGGCCAGGCCAGAAGTGATACCATGGTCTCACAGAAAACCAGTGTTAAGGAGTTATTTCATTGCCTTTCACGGAGTGAGTGAGGTATCCTCCCCCTCTTTCTGAATCCAAAGAGGCCGCAAGCAATATGGCCTGTTACATGTATTTTACAACCTTCTCAATATTAGTATGAAAAAGTGCATGACTGCTAGTAGAACACCATGAAAGGTAGAAAATAAAACCAAAAATTCGAAAATAGTAATAATATTTAGTTTTTTTTTAAAGTTAAACACTTTTATTAAAAATAAAAATAATGATGATGTAGAAAATGTACTAGAAGCTAAATAACAATTATCAAATTTCTATTATCTATGTGAGTTATCAAACATTTTTTAAATATTTTATTTTATTATTTTGCGTATCCAAGCTTTTTTTACTAAATCCATACTTATACTCGTATTATTAATGTGAAAGTGAGTTTATTTGATATGCGTTCATGCCTCAGCCACTAAAACAATTTAAACAATACTTCAATAAAATAAAACTCATGGGGCGGCAAAATACTTTTGTACGAATAGAATATGTATGTGTATTTATGATGTGTTGTGTTGTATGTGTGTATTGGTGTATGTATAAATTTATGTATGTAGTGAACCATATATATTTTCATTGACTACTTAATATAATATGACGTAACCTCTGGGCACCTACCTTACAAGATTTCTACACAACCCAAAAGTTGACTTTAAGGGAATGCCCTGGGAAAGTGCGCAAATTTAAATTATATATTTTCGGACATCTAACACACAAATCTATTTAGTTTCAAACTAATACTATGAAAGCTAGATTGCCTGATAAAATACTTATATACTTTTTTTTTAATTCACACATATTATAAATAAAAATCACCCAAACTCCGAAACGAATATTTGCAGATCATACAAACATTTGGGAATCGAACCCGACACCTCAGCACAGCAGTCGCATACGCTACCACTGCACTGCAAATGCAAATGCTTTTGTCTCTTGAGTTATAGATATCCATGTGTGGCGGTAGTCACATTTGCCATCTATAAAATGTAAAAAAAATATAATTTTCAAATAGACGAAATGCGGTGTGGTTGGTGTTAAAATTATGATTGAATGCTAATACATTGAATTGAATTTTAACACTAATAATACTACGCATCAACGTAACTTCTGCTTTACTGTCAAGAAAGCAATTCCGAATCGTAACGTCAAACACAATCCATTTCTGTGATGTGTTGTTGTTTTACGAGCCTCTCGCCACTCGTAAAATGTGATTTATATAGCCTGTTAATAAAAGTGACTTATTGAACACTCCATCTAGGTTAGTTTACCCATTATCTAGTGTGTAATTGTCTAATCAACGGGTATAATTGAGATATATGTCACTCATTTCTGATCATCAACAGCCTATAATAGTCCACTGCTGGACATAGGCCTCTCCTTAGAAAGGAGGTCTTGGCCTACGCCAACCCGTCTGGCCAGCGTGGTATAGTAATACCACGCTGGCCAGACGGGTTGGTATAGGGTTTGTTTCAAGTTTTCCTTCTCTTTTCAGTGCTGTGGTCCTGCGTAGTTTGCTCCCTTAGTCGACTCTTACGACACCCACGGGATAAATAGGGGTGGTGACACTCTGTATTCTTAATCCGTCACCGCACGGATACCACCGGACGTCATTTCTGATATTTTCTAATAAAAACTGTGGAATAACTAGAAATAAGTAGTACTGTTATTATAAAATTAAGTACCGTGAAATGCGAATTCACAACTGAGGAGTAGCGAGCTCCAGACACTTAAATTCGTCCCTAGGGTGGTTGAAATATGACTCTTAAGTGATCACTCCACTCAAAAGATATCGATATCTAAGTAGTCTAATTTTAGAAGTTCGATGTCTGTGATTTAACACTAGTATTAAAATGCAGACTAGAGATACCTTTATCAACATAAATTCTCTTTTATTGGCAAATTGTGAAACTATTAAGTAGAAGAAGAACCAAATCTAAAGCTCAAAGAACAATTTATAAAATTCAAGTTCAATTCTAGTTCAATTTTATAATTAGATATAAATTTCTTTGAGTATTAACGGCCATGATAAAACCTGACTCTGTAGCTCCTTTAATACATTAGAAATAGATTACGGACAGATATTATACTATAAATTGTGCTAAATCACAAAGTAATATTTAATTTTATTCACTTTCATGTGGTGTCATTCGCGTAGTATTAAGTTTAAGTCTTAAGCAATGAATGAAGCCATGATCCACATGATTATTAACGTTAATCTAAAATCCCGTAATCACAATTATTATCCAACCCATTAGTTGGTTTATCGGAATATATTTTATTAATGAAAGATGATAGTGCATAATACTAAACTTAAATCATTGATTAATGGATATCACAATTCAGTGATCGTTTATCTTAACGTATTAAATGGTTTCATACTTCGTAGTAAGTACCCTTTTAATTTTCACATCCATCAAATAACTTAGTGCTTATTATGTTACGGCCATTTTGAGCCTACAGGAATTATAGTGTGTGCAGTGCTTTGCTACTTTTTTTCTTCCACAACACTAAGTAAGGTGGCATTGACATGTTATAAGTATTGACTAGCTATATACTTAACAAACAAAAACTAATTGCTACATATTTACAAAGCAATATATTGTTTGAAAGTGTTATGACAATTCTGCTAATTTTGTTCCACACGAGTAATACTGCGAGGTTATTATTTAACAACAAATAGAAATTGCAAACTTACCCCAACATAACGAGCCTGAAGCAGTTCTTCGGAGGTGGTGCAGACTCCTCACACGCTGACACCGGAGCACTCGGACCAGGAGACCTCTCTGAATCAGACTCTTCTCCAATCCCTGCTCCACGTCGACACAACCAAGACGACCCGCACTTATCTCTTGCATCTTCTATAGGAGCCGCAAACTGACATCTTCTCGGAGATTTTCTTCCGCTTGCTAATGAGGATTTTAAAGGGGATGGTGGTGCTCTTACTGGACTCGGCGAAGCCCTAACAGGAGATGTGGTAACTTTTACAGGCGATGACTGTAAAGACAGCCCGCCACGTTCAGTCGTCCCATTCATCATTTTGTTCACGTTTGATACCTTGTTAGGCAGTTCATCGCTTCATTTATAAAACTTTTGGCTTGGAAATATTATGGAATTGGTTTGGTTGAATATATTTGACAGTAAATTCCACATAATTTTTACACTATATTACTATGCCAGCGCTGTGAGAATAACAACAGGCTATATTAAATATGATATACATATCTGTGATATGAATATAAGTATACTTATAATGATAACAAAAAAAAATATATGAAATTACACGGAATTAATATAAATAAAAACATTAAGTTGCGAGTCATAGAGACATGAGTCAAAAATGAGTCATGATAGAGTGGAGACAAATAATCTCACTTTAGGGGTATTGTTTGCCCTTCCACCTGATTTTGTGGGGGGAGAGACGAAAAAGGCGGGAAAACACATGTAACTCTTGAGGTGATGTAAATAGGCGGTGTTAGTCACTTGCCATCAGTTAACATGTTTGCTCGTTTGCCACCATTCCAAAAAAAAATTAATATGTCTTACCGAAAAACAGGTATTTTTTCTACCCGACACTACACGTAAATTGAGAAAGTTCCTGTTTTTAAAGCGCAAACTAATCTATTTAATTTGGCTTTAGATTAATAGATATCTAAAACATCACAATAAAAATCATCAGTCTGTCTAATTTTACCAAACAAAAGTTCTTAGCTAAAATACAATTCTAACTACGAAACATTGTCCATATGGCGCTCTGTTATCTTCAATTATATCCAATTACCCTTCTGTGACATTTACAACCAATTTTCCCTACACCACAAATAAAGGACGAAGTACGTAGCGACCCTAATTTGAATAATATTAGATTGATAGTCGTCAACCCTTGTCAATAGGGGAAATTGTCTCATTATATATTTGATTGTGTTACAGTAATAGAATTGGGGGAAAGAGTTAGCTCCCCTCCACTCTGACAACTTGTTTGTGACAATCTTCCAGCATTAGATTGTAACTTAAAAAACATCACACTATAAACAAATGTAGTAATGATTAGATGCGATGGATTGAGGCTCAGGCCTGTTGAGACTCTCAAACTTTTGAAAATATACTAAAAACATTGTATTGTACAACATGGAACGTAGCGTAGGATCGTTTATGTTTCATATCTTTTACATACGTCTTGTATGTTAGGATTTTTTATTAATATCTGTATAAAAATTATTTTATATATTATAAGAACCAGATGAAACTATTTTAAACTTATGTATAGTAGTAGAACCATGTCAAAGTAAGTTATAGTCACGAGGAAAATAACGAAGATACGTTTTATCAAACGGCATATGACTGGCCTATTGGACTGGTGGCCAGTGGGTTGGGTTCGATTCCTACCCAGGACATATAATCGTGTGATGAGTACGATTATTTGTTCTGTGTTTGGTTGTAATTTATCTATAAGATATATATGTATTTTTAAATATATAACAAGCATAAGATAATAATATTACAGAAAATCACATGAGCATACATATCGATACTCTTGAGACCATACAAGATTCCCCGTTGACTAAATTAGATTGAATATTTTATTAGAATGTATGTAGTTCCTATTCCACTATGTATTCTTAGATATTCTTACTATGATTCAAGAATGTGTTCTATCTCAATTGTTGAGAAAAAATCCAAACCAATAAATCTAATATTGACGGTCCTATATATAACACCTAGACTAAAACTATAGAAATCATTATATCTGACGTAAAACTAGGGGAACGTAGGGAGAGGGTCGGGGGTTGAAAATCGCATCATGCTCTTAATGGATGCCTCCTAATGAAATTAAAAAGTTTTTATCTTTTTAGTTAAACGCGTAGGTAATGTAGTGTAGGCAGGTGTATGTATTGAAAAGATGTAACTTACACAATGAAGAACAATCCTCGTATTTCGAAAACAATTATCTGTAAATTTTATTTTACATACATATGATTTACCGTAAACCGTGACCGGCAACTGTGCGTATTAAACCTGTTTGGCGCTATGGAGGTTGTCTGAGATTTCTACTTAAACCATAACTTTTTTCTAAAAGTCCATTAGGTGATTGTAACTCACTTCTGCGTAAAGGGCTCGTGCAGCGTGCCAGCGATATAGCGCAACATCACCCGCGCCGACTCGCGGCGATTTCCAGCTACGAAAAACAGTGTAGCGTGCGAGGACTAACGATGAGCGACTACATGGGACCGATTAATAGAAAATCCCAACTTAGTTACCTAGTTGCGGTTAATACTGAACTTACTTATTGTTTGGCTCCGTGTAGCAGAGTACTTAGAGCGGAAATGGATATCCATTTCCGCATCAGATATTTTATTGTTGGAATATTCTGTTTTACGGATTCGTGCTATCAAAAGCATGAGAAGAAGGACAAGATTTACAGACGGTTACGAATTACATTAATTAAGTTTCCTGTATTCATAATTAAAATAAAATGGATAACAAAAACATTCTTGGCCACCTGTGGCAACTGCTCGTTGCAAGTCTCGCGACCACTGGCTCAGTGCACAACAGACCAATATGTACGGAAAAAAAGCACTAACATTCATATTCTTAATTCTCGACACTCTTTAATGTTGAATATCCTTCTATTTAGTGCTGAAAAGACTGATATATCTCTAAAGCTATTTTACATTATAGATGGGAAAGATTTAACTCCACAGGGAAAACAACCTATCGGTTTTAATACATACATGTGTATGTATACCGAAGACTCCACTAAACTGACAACAGAACTAAGCGAAGTATATGTTAACCGCTCGCCAGGGATCGCTTATTTACGATACTCTGTTCGATTACGTCTTGCTGGAAGGGATTTCAACAGTTCAACTATAGAATAAGTTTATAAAGTATCAGGTTATTTAGGTTTTTCTCTCTACTATCTAGAATACGTTATTGACGCTTTTGTTTATGCAGAAAAGATAACCTACTATGACAAAATTGTTTTGTACTCTTTTGTAAATATTGCTCATTTTAAGAGGGAAGTATATTTTGAATGAGTAAAATAAAAGTTGAAGTATCCCATCCAAAAATATAACAAGTAAATATAGTAATGTGAATAATAATTATATTATCTATGCAAATAAAATTACTTGTCTGTACCCTGTCTGACTAATTCATCAACGAAGAGCCTAAACCACTGGGGTTACAAACTTAAAATTTTGGTAGTTGATGCTTTTTATGTTATAAGTACCCACTGAGAAAGGATTTTAGTAAATTTCATTAATTTTCCTCTAAGATGGTAAAATGAAGGATGAACGGTTGTATGCTCGTAGTTTTCAAAGTTAGAAACACATATAAGATATTACTTGCACGGCGATGCAAATAACACTGGACAAGACTAATGAAATTTAAAACAGGCAACAGCAGTTGAATGTTATTGTTTTTGTCGCAAAAATGTTACAAATACCTATATTTACTTTACCGTTTACAATAATATACGCCAAGAAATAAAAAATCTATAGTTACATGAACCGAATACGGTGTTCGAACACAAAATATTTTACGTAGTGGCAGGTGTCGAGCCGGCGGAGGTTTAAATCAATAAGCTATTTAAAACATTTCAAACTAAACCATGTGTTTTAATTTTTATTTTCGTTTGACCCCTTAACACTCATGGCAGATGTCATAATAACAGTTTCTGCACACGCTCATTCAATAAATTCCCAAATAAATGATGTGCACAAAAATGTAAAACTCGCCATTTTGAAGAGTTTTCGACAGTTTTCTTCGACATTACAATACGAAAATTATTTTTATGCCACTTTATTTTATAGAGGACATGCCATATAACTTGTCACAAATAATAAATGATATTTACAAAATACCACCTAAATATGTGGCGAATTCAAGCCTTACAAATGTAAAGCAGAAATTCACAAAACATTCCATTAATATTTCTTGCTCTTGCTGTATTCCTAATAGCTGTATTATGTTTAGTAGTATTATTAGCAGTATGTGTATAAAACAATAATAACTAAGAAGGCGCAATTTTTTTTATATTTTTTGTAAAATTATAAAACGAATTGATGATTTTCGACTCAGAATCATGGTCTGAATACAATATTTCAGTAATTGTTACGATGTCCCTTACACCCTGTATAAAAAATAAAAATTCACATAAGTTGTATAATATACCACCACAGGAATTTTCTACAGAAATGAGACATACGAGTATACCTGTAACTTACAAGGTAGCAAATATCTGTGTAAACATGTATACATTTTTTTTCTCCGTATTATGTATATATGTACGTATTATGTGTATAAATATATTTGTTGTAATAAATTTTCTACAATACTATAATCTACATTTGTCTTAAATGGCAAAACTTAAATGGCAACAGTTTTAGAAAAGATTGAAAATAAAATAGGTACCTACAAACGCTCAAAATGGATAAACGTTTTAAAATTATTACTGTCAAAACGGGAAATCTGTTATAAGAAGTAACTTTAGCTTTCCATACCAGTCGTAATCCTTGACGTACCTTGACGTTTAAGTAGCCTAAATCGTTTAATTTATTCGTTACTTCAGAAGAGGAGGGTTATAATTTAAGATGAGAATTAAATGTAGGTACCACGTATTGTTTTACGAATTATTTATTTAAAAATATTTCTATAGAAACAGATAAATGAATAGTTACCACTATTAAAAGTGCCAGTCCATATTCCGAAAACCTTAAAAGTGCTTAACTAAATCCCAAAGTTGCGCAGATAGACAAATTCATATTCAAATATGTTTACTTTTTGCATTAATAATGATACAAAAATATGCATTGTAAACTTTTTATTCAAATTTTATTATTATCCTAGCTCCTACAATTTAAAACCTCTCTGAAATTGATGCACATTAATATCGTCGTCCAATAAAAAATTGGTTGAAAATAAATAAACCATTGTTTGTCGATACATCGTTAAAGTACACTGTAAAGCAAAGGCCAAATTACTTGATACTAAATAAAACAGAGCATAATACCGGCTTAAACCGAATCTTTTACTGA